AACGTAAAAGGTTGGACTGATCATACCAAATGGACTCTCCTAAGTCCCAAACACCAGAAGGTAGTTCAGGAAATCCTGAAGTAGTCCTGGGAACCTACTCAAAGCCCCCTTGCCATGACTTCCCAGCCTGCCTTCTGTCTCCAGATGTTTCTACAAAGGAACAGGCCTCAAGGTTATCTCCAGACAGGGGAGCTGACCTTCCTGGTCCCACACAAAGCTCAATGGAGAAATAGAAGAATCTGGAGGCTGTAACATAAAAGTAATTCTCTGTCTCCATGAAGATAGTGGCAAAGGAGAGTTATAGGATTTCCCTGGGTTCATCCTACATTTTCAAAATGCCAGGTCTGATCCATTTCTACTTTTTTGGTACCGGGAATCAAACTCAGGTCCTTGAGCTTGCCAGGCAGGCACTTACACCGCTGAACTATCTCCCCGGCCCCCATTTCTAAATTAAACAAATAAAACTTGTTTGAGTATCAAACCTTCAAATGACCACTGTACTTAGTAGACATTTAAGAGAAGGAATAAAAACCTAGGGAGTAAAAAGAAACTATTCTCCCCCAATGGCACTGCATATTCAGTAACATATTATTACAAAGAAACACAGTCAGTTGAGTAGGAATAGGATTATCTACCCAGGTAAACAAGGAATAACTTCCTTATGAATTCAGGTGAGGGCCAACAGCAGCAAGTGGTTCTAAAGTGGTATTTCCCACTGGGCATGGTGGCACATGCCAGTAATTCTAGCCCTCTGGGAGGCTGACCAGGAGGATCACAAGTTCAAGGCCAGCCTCAATAAATTTGGGTCTTGTTAAAGCAAGACCTTGTCTCAAAATAAAAAAAAAAATAAAAGAAGGTAGCTTAGTGTGGAACTTTGCATTCAATCCCCAGTGCTACAGGCAATCAATCAATCAAAGTAGGGTTTTCCTAGTACCTCATATTCTTCAGTTCCTTGTGAATGTTGCTGGCAGAATATTTAGAAAGTAGAAACTATCAGTTAGGAGGATGGCAATCTGCCCTCGTAAGGGATAAATGTGCTACCATCCAGATATATTCAGCTATATGTTGAATAGCTATAGCTTGGCCATATGTTCAATTTCAGAGGTCATTTTAGTGTCCACACATTGGTGAATCATCAATACTGAAAACAACTGTTTAATACACCACTGTGCTGACTGGGTGTGGGGGAGGGAAAGAGCAGCAGGATCCTCAAGGCCAAGGAATTGTCCCGGTTGTGTGGGACAAGCCTGCACTGGTATATGCTTTGTTGAGGCCAAATACACAAACTGCCCCACTTCTTTGGTGACGGATGTCTGTGTGACAAGGCTCTAAACACACATAATTGAACAGAACTGAATCTCCCCTGGGAAAAACTGGGGATTCCACTCTACGGGATTTTCAGAATGCTTGTTTTGTTTTGAGACAGGGTCTTACCATGTAGTTCAGGCTGGCCTTGAACTTGCAGTGATCCTACTTCAGCCTCTCTGTGCTGGGATTATAGGCGTTTACCACTATGACTGGCCATAATGCTAGATTTATAGCAAGACAGAGCAAAGTCCATGCAGGTGTGAGGACAAGTTTTGTAACAGATTCTCCAAGCTTAATGCTCCTTAATGCCAAACCTCTGGAGCTGAGTCACCCATGAGATGTGACTAAGGTCTGAGAGTAGCAGCTGCAGAGGGCAGGGGAGGGAATGGAGAGGAAACCATGGACTAAAGAGAGGCAAAAGAAAATCACAAAGTTCACTAAGTGAAGCTGACTTCATAGATTCAATATAGGACAAAGCATTTTACCTTATGGAATGCTTGCCTCAAAGTCCAACCTATCACCTTCTGCATTTTTTTCAGAATGATTCTTTTCCTTTTTTATTCTCTCCTAAATGCCATGTATCCTTCAAGGTCCCAGAGGGCAACAATGATCATCAATACTGAGAGGGAAGTCCCTGGCCCTCCAGAAGGCTAAGCTGAGTGTGTGTGTGCAGAGGTGGGAACAACACAGCACAATCTTAAAACAGGAGGACAAGAGGACAGGGATAAAAGCCCAAGGGACACTAACAGCAATGTCTGAGAAAGACACAGGTAAAGAAAACACCAAGTGCAGAGGGTACACACAGGAATGGGCTTCATTTCTGTAAGAAATAGAAAGGAGACCAGCATGCCTGAAGGGCAATAACAGAGATTAGGAGAGGAGCAGTAGAAATTCAGTTATTAGTAGTACTTTTTAATCAGCATGCATATTGTTTAATGTGTGTCAAACCCTGTTCTAAGCAGCTCATCAATGCACCTCATTTAAACCCTCGTATCTCTATGACAGATTATCACTTCCATTTTGCAGGTGATGAAACTGAGCATCAGAGAGGTTATATCATTTGCCCAAGGTCACACAGTAGAGCAAAGCCTAGATGCCCATGCAACCCTGCAGTCTGGCTCCAGTCTTTATGCTTTCACTGTTGGCTCTACTGTGTCTGAATAAGGTCAAAGAGCAAGTCTGACAACATCTGATCTCTTTTGAAATAACTCTACTTCCCCAGACCCACTTCTGAGCATAAAATATATTAACGAGATGAGAGCTAATAATTAAGGTGCAACTGATTAAAGCCTATGTTTTTAATTGGAAGGAGAAAAAAAAACTTGGAAGAGGTCTAGTAGGGAACATTTTCATTTTATTGCTAGCACTGTAGTATAACTGAAGAAGTAGAGAGTGCAGGAAGGAAAACACCTCCTCCAGTCTTTAGGGTACAGTTTGGCAGGAGCAAAGCAACACAGAAATTGGGATTCATGTGTACAATATGATTCCCATACACTTGTCTCTTCACTGACAATACCCAGGAGCCTAGAGCCCTAGGGCGTCTGAGCTATAACTTCCAGAAGAGGAGGCAAAGTCTCAAAGGGGTTATACTGATACCACTTGGATTTTGCATTGCAAGAGATATAGGTAGATTGTAGGTACTTCTTAGCAGATGCTGAATCCTGGCTAAGGTACTAGCCATCAAGCGAAGGAACTGCCTAGGCTGCTGGCTCATGCCCAAAACGGGTTTGACTCCACCAGGCCTCCCTGTGCTTAGAACGAAGCTTTAGCACAATTGTTTGCATTGCTTAAGCTGGAGAAGTAAAATTTCACTTATTTTTTTAAAAAGTGGACTAAGGCACCAAAATCTTACAATCCATGTTCCAGTTAATGAACAGGTTGACTCTAGACAGGTAAATAAGTAAACGCTATATAAGAGATTTTATTTTACAGAGCAGTAATCTCCCTGAAAATAACTGCTGCGTTCTGGATACAAAATCAGAATGCTTAGGTATGAATATAGGGTGCACTATGTGAACTACAGCTAGACATTCAATAGGCACTAAATTACTTCTGACAGACTGATCTGATGTCCAGCTTGGTCCAGGTTGCCTCAGAGGCTTTTCAGCATCCTCTGGATAACAGCTAGAGCCTTTCTTTCATGTGTTTTCCTTCTCTGTGCTAACCTCCAGGTGAATGGGTTTCCTTTCACAACTGTGGTTCCCCAGAATTCCAGGCCATCACGAGGAAATCTAAATAAAAGGGAAGGCAGCCCTTCTCCAGTTCTGTTCCTAATTTAAGTAAGCCCCTGGAGTTAGGATCTATGGCTGGCCACTGTATCACTGTCCTTTTATATATAGTAACATTGGTTTAAAAAAAAAAAAAAAAAGAATCACTTGACAAAGTTTTCTATTTCTGTAACATTGTGTCAGGAGGGAAGCTTAACAGACTGTTTTCCCCGGGAGTGAAAGTATTTGTTTGCATTTTAGAAAGTAGTTTTATTTAACTCTCCAGTTAAATTTAACTACTGTGAGAATAAATATTCTCCATCCCCCGATTCTGATAATACAGTTTCACTACTGAAGTGATTGAAATAAAACATGACTGGCATGAAATAAAACATGACTGGCACTGACCAATAACCTCGGGTGCTGCCAGAAGCTTCAGGCTTCAGGTGACCTACACCAGATCCCACCGTAAAACCTGCAGCAATACCGCAGTATCAGGCCCACCCAACACAACTGCAGCAGGAAGCAGCCTCACGTTCGAGGACTTTCCCTTTTCCCAGATAGGTTTCCCTTTTCCCAGCTAGGGGATTAAAAGCCCCACTCTTTCGACCTATCCGACCATCTGTCCTTGCTTTTCCTTTACTTCCTTTCCCACGCTCACTTGTTCCCCAGGCTACTTGTAAATTTCGTGACTCCCAAGGAAAGTATTAGCAGTAGCCATAATTTAGAAGAATGACTCAATAACGAGGCTCCTGCCTCTTCCCCGCCCTGCAGCTGCCCCACCTCTGTGGCCTGCGCCTCCCTACAGCAACACCAGATAAAGAAGGGAAATTTTTTCAAATCCTCGGAAGAGACAAATGCAGATTCTCCTCCCCGCCCCCATCCTCTCCTGTGGCATCTCCTGCCCTAATGCAGGTGCAGGAAACCACCCGCTTACAGGTTCTAATACAAATGTTTCACTGAGGCAGAAGGAAAACAAAACCATTCCCTGCGAGGCTCTCCCCGAAGAATCCTAGCAACACTTCCGCAGCAGGCTCAGTGCGCCAGGCCACTTCTGAAACCATTGTTAGCGACCGGGCCTGCACAGCCTGCAGTGCCCCGCTCGCCCAGCCTCTGCCCCAGCTGCAATTGGCAGTCGGGTGGGCTCCACAAGGTAGAAAGGGGAATCCCCGGGCCGCACAGCCCAGGCAGAGAAGGAGAGGAAAAGAAGGCACTGTGGAAGGGTTGACCTTGAGAATCTCGCTGCGTTATAGATAGCGCGGCCGGGTCTCCCTTGGACGCTCCAAACCCACTCCATAAGGAAGAATGCAAAGGGGTAACAGGATGGGCAGCAAAGAAGACGCAAATGCACAGCTCCAGTCCACAGCTCAGGGAAGGGGGTCAGAGAGAGACGTTATTACCACCTCAGGGCATCTGAAATATCGGCTGCCCAGTGCAAGAGTCTAAGTGCCCCCCGAGAGCCAGCCCGCAGGTGCTAGCACTCACCTGGTTCACCTTCGCAAGCTAGGTACACACCCAAGCTGCGCAGCACAGTCCGGGCGCGGCTAGCACAGATCCCGAGACAGGCCCCGCCCATACCCCCCGCCCAGAGCCCTGTGTGGCCACGCCCCCAAGACCAGGCTCCGGGGGCGGGGCTTCCGGGGCGGGGCTTCTAGCCCTGAAAAGCGCCTTCTCAATTTGCTAGTGGTTGGGAAGCATATATTAAATTCTCTTCCTGCTTCTGGTAGTCCACAGATTTACCACTATCATTCCCAAATCTATAGATTACTCTCTTCTCCAGATGCCTTCGTGGCCACCTTCCTAAACTGTTCCGACCAGTTTATTCTTCTCGAACAGGGTTTGCCGAACAGTGGCATGTTAGGAATTTATCCTGAGCAGAGCCACCGTAGTTTGGTTTTGGCGCGGCGCTCGACAGGCCACGTGGGTCTCACGGCGCATGCGCGGAGGTAGGACGCCGGGCTTGGACCGTCCGGAAGCTCGTGACGTGGGCGCTGGGTGCGCGGTTGTCTTGTTGCCACGCTTAACTCCTGGAGGGATTTGGGGTAGCTAGGGCTTGTGAGTGTCCCTAACAATATACATTGTTCTGTAGAGAGCCGGTCGCACGGTCCTGCCCTAGCAGTTTGTGTGCCGCCTCCAGGACGCATCGCCGTCAGATAGAGGACTCGGGCTGCAGTTTGACCGTGGTTCGGCCGCCGAGGCGGGCTCGATCCCAGAAGCACTAAAGTTGACGTTTTTCTCTTGGCTTAAGTGCCTGCCGTTACCCAGGACGCTCCACGCCGTAGGAAGGGTTGCCACATCGCGCAACCTGCGTCATTTACTGCGTACCTTGTTTGTTTTGAGCTCTGCTCAGACCCACGGTCCTGCCCTAGCATCTTCGTTCTGGGGAATTTCTTTCCTCTAATTACTTCAAGTCGAGGCCTGGAAAGGCTGTAATCTAGACTTTGCAAGGCTCTGTACCGGGTAGTCAGTATTCTTTTTTATTAGCTTGTCATGCCCATACATTTAGATGTACTTTGAGGGCTCGTAAAATCTTCACGATTGCTGTTTCAGTATTTCCTAGCTGTTCTCATGCTTTTTTCGTAAGTACAAGAATGCCTTATAGTTTAAGTCTTCTGGCATGTTGAGTGGAGAGGGCTTATTTTCATTGAACATCGAAAGGAAGCAAATGAAATATTTCTGCATTTTTGAGAGACGTTGTTCTCCCCTTGCTGACTGTTCTATATAAAGAACAGGCAGCCCGAGGAAGTAGAAGAGATAACTAGAATTCAGGAGTATTCTGGACTGCCCTTTTTTATGTTTTTTGTTTTGTTTTTGTTTTTTTTTTGGTACCGGGAATCGAACTCATGACCTCACGCTTGCCAGGCACGTGCTGTGCCGCTGAGCTAAATCCCCTAGATACCATTTTTGACCAAAAACAGTACTTTAACACTCAGAACCTTTTTTTAAAAATGTCATTACAAAAACAGTATTCATTTGTTGTACAAATTTTGGGAAATACAGAAAAAAAACCCATAAGAACACATAGGCATATACCCAGATACACACACAGTGGAGTCACTGTATTTGTTTACCCTATCCACTTCATAAATTATAAACTATTTTCCTTTTCATTTCTTCAACAGTCATTCTTCAGTGTCATTGGCAGTGACTGCATGTAACTTTATAGCATGGACATACCAATCCTTGTTGGAGTTAGCTTGTTGTCAGTTCTTTCCTATGATGATGTACAACCTTGTAGATAAATCTGTGTGCATGCTTATGATCATTTCTTTTTGACTAAATTCCCTTAAAAGAACAATTTCTGGGTCTTTTGATGTCGATAAGAATAGGCAGTCCTGGAAAAGAGTATATAATTTTCTCCAACACTCAAGTCTTGACTATAATACTTCTCCATTTCCAAATGGGAATAAGACCTTTCTCCCAAGGCTGTTGTGAAGTTTAAATGAAAACTTAAGTGCTACATAAAAGTCCTGCATCCCTTTTGTGTCGCATTATATGTTTTGCAGGTCCTATTATAGTAACACAAATTATGTTGTGGAACACTTTGGCTCAGAAGTTGGTGCCCCTCCCATCCAAATACTAACCAGGCCCCTACGTCACTAACTCTTAATTCCTTCTCTACTTACAATCCGGCTTCTGCTGCCAAACTTCTTTGTAAACTGCTGTATTAAAGGTCACCATTTGCCTTGTAAACTCTGTTCTTGGAGTCTCAAACCTTGCTCTCTCCTGATTCTTTTCTTTTTGCTTGCCCTTTTCTCTTCTTGCTTCTTAAAATGTGTTCTGATTCTCCAAAGCACTAATCTGTCTCTCTCTTTTTCTGCATTTTTTACTTCTATGAGTCCATTCATTGACTCTTAATGATTATAATATCTACTCCTGTGGCTATTTTGGTTGGCTAGAATTCAAATTTGCCTCTTTAAGGAAAATCTCTTTTTCTTTTCTTTCTCTCTTTCTTTCTTTCTTTTTTTTTTTTTTTTTTCTTTTTGTCTTTTTGAGACAGGGTCTTGCTATGCAGTTTAGGCTGGCCTTCAGCTAATGTTGTAGCCCAGGCTGGTCTCGAGCTTGCAACGATACTCCTGCCTCAGCTTCCCAAGTGCTGGCATTACAGGGGTGCCCCACCATGCCCAGTGGAGAATCCCTTTGTCATATTTTTTGAAGGTAGTATTTTTTTGGGAGCCACTGGAATTGGTCGCTAGGCAACATTATCTCTCATGATACTATTTTGCAAGTGTATAAAATAAATGCCCCTACTGTTGAAGCCAGTCCTCCTGCTCATCAGGCAAGAGGTAACTCCACCTGAGCCGGACTATCGTCTCTTGTCTTTATTTTCTAAATCTTCTCGCTGTTTTCTCCCAGGGACCACCGAGAGAGCACTGACTCCCACAGTACTTACATAGCTCTAAAGTTAAAAGGCCACTTCTCCCTCTCCCCTGCTTCAGAGGAGCTAAAGGGGTGGGTATGTGCCTTTGGCTTTGCCAATCAGGTGCTTACTCCCAGGACTCTCACCCTTGGGAAAATGAACCCCAACATGGATACATTCAGTGATCTCATTCTTTATGGGGTGGGGCAGAGGAGTAGATTTCTCTAAGCACTCCATTTAGATTTACAGTCACTCTCTCGCTCTCATTCTCGCTCTCTCTGTCTTTCTCTTTTTGTCTTTGAGACAGGGTCTCACTATGCAGTTCATGCTGGTCTTGAGCACACTTTGTAGCCCAGGCTGGCCTTGAACTCGCAAGGATCCTCCTGCCTCAGCCTCCTGAGTGCTGGGATTACAGGCATGCACCACCATGCCTGGCAGCACCCTCTTTCAAGGTACTTCTTATTGCCCTTCCTTGTTTTATTTTCTATTGTCTGATATATTTTAGTTTAATTCATTTGTTTATCTAGCTCCCCTCCTCAAATACAACCTATATGAAGGTGCATGCTACACAGATAGTTACTCCTGTACCCCAGATGTTCCTAAATTGTTTATGCTCAGTAACAGTTGAATGAATGAATGAATGAATGAATGAATTGTTATTGTCCCTAGCCTTCTGGAGTTTCCTGAATTTTTATGGAGTCTGTATTATTCTGTTAAGCAGGTTATCCAGATTCAGCTTCTCTTTCATGTAGAAACATTTAACCGCATTATAGACTTCCCCCACAGTCACATTAATTTATTTGCAATCAAACCTTTATGTATTTCAGCAAAGGACTTGGCATTACTGCCTTTCACTCCTTGGACTTTGGGATCAGACAGTCCTGTAGTACAGTATGTTAGAATCCCAAGAGAGCTGTTTATTTAGCTGTGTGACTGGGAGAAATTGCATAAGCCCTCTGAATCTTGTTTTGCTGTTCTAATCTGTGAAATTAGTATTCCAACACCAATTTTGCTCAGCAGTTGTGAAGAGTGTAGGCCTACTGGATGACTGTTGTTACCAGTTTGTGTTGATGGTCCCTCAAAATGGTTTCCTTTCTCAGCCCTTGGCCCTCACTCAGGCCTTAAAAGGTTTTTGATTTGGACCATTACCGAAACCTTTTTACCAGTTTCCCTTTCAGAAATCATCAACTGCCATCACAGTTTTCTTTCTAGAGCAGATCTGTTCTTTGGTGACTCTGAGCAATGCCTGAGGGATGAAGTCCAAACTCCCAAACGTGATATTTTAAGATTGTTAACAGTTTAGCTTCAGACTATTTTTCCAGAGCTCTCGCACTTTAATTTACATTTGTGCCAGGTGTCATAGCTCATGCCTGTAATCGCAGCACTCAGGAAGCTAGGCAGGATGCTTGAGAGTTGGAGCCCAGCCTGGTGTCCATAGTGAGACACTGTCTCAAAAGAACCACAGCAAGAAAAAATTTGTCTATTGGATGCCAGGCACTAGTACATTTTAAAAGTTTTTTTTTTTTTTTGAACTGGGAATCAAACTCAGGACCTCTTGCTTGCCAGGCAGGTACTGTGCCTCTGAGCTATATCCCTGGGAAAGCTGTCAATAAAAACAATGAAGTTAGTCATAGGTTATGAGTATCTTACTCCATTTTGTGCTGTGATAAAAGAATGTTTGAGAGTGGGTAGTTTATAATGGACAGAAATTTATTTCTCACAGTTTTGGAGACTGGGAAGTCCAAGACCAAGGTGCTGGCATTTGGAGAGGGCCTTCTTGCAGTGTCTTCACATGGTGCAGGGCAGAAGAGCAAGAGTGGAAGTAGGGGAACTCAGTCCTGTAAGCTCTTCCTACACTGGCATCTGTCTGCTCCTGAGGGCTCAGCTTCTAAACACCTCCCCTGAGACCTTCCCTCCAAACACTGCCATCTTGAGGATTAAATTTCCAGTACTTTAATTGTGGGACACACATTCAAACCGCAGCAAGATTCAACCTAAGGCAAATTTCTGTCTATCTGAGATTTCAACCTAAGGCAAATTTTTGTCATGTCTCTTGTACTTCTGTCATCCACTGTAGAAAGGGCATTTCATGGCTTCCATAATTTTCTTAAGCTCTTCTATCTTCTTGTCTGTATCTGCTCTAGCATCACTAAGCATGGTTTTCATTGTGGACACCATCTCTGTAGTTATCTGAGAGATTATTTCTGGTATGATTTTTTTCTAGAGCCTCATTC